ACCTTCGACCTCCTGGCCCTCTATAGTATTCCGGTATGTTCTTCTGATCACGGCCTCAAACCATACTCATAAGCTGCTTCACATAATCTGGTGCACAACACAACACTTGATAAGCTGCTCACGTCATTCATACACTGTACTCATATACTGCATTCTGCACTGATAAACTGCTCACGGCATTTGCACACTGTACTCATACACTGCATTCTGCACTGATAAATTGCTCACGACATTTGCACACTATACTCATACACCGCATTCTGCACTGATAAACTGCTCACAGTATTCACACACTGTACTCATACACTGCATTCTGCACTGATAAACTGCTCACGACATTTGCACACTATACTCATACACTGTATTCTGCACTGATACACTACTCACGACATTCACACACTGTATTCATACACTGTATTCTGCACTGATAAACTGCTCACAGTATACTGATGCGTTTTCCTCTTATACTTTTCAGCCTCCTTTCCAGATTCCCACTGTGGGAGGTGTTCCAGCCAGGCCTTCTATTCCTGCCGGAGGAGATGGAGAGAGCAGAGTATTTCTCCGCACCAAGGCGGGGCGCACTCACGTCGGGGGTAGCTCACGGGCTCCAGTCCCTGATGACGATAATGTGGAGTCGGAGGCGGAGGCGGAGGCAGAGTAGTCGTCGGAGGAGGCCGGAGACGGCTCGGACTCGGGCTCAGATGACAGCGCTGACGACGCTCCTGGACCTTCGTCCAGGAAGAGGACTAGGACGGACTCCCAGGCCTGAGATCCTTTGTCATTGATCCAGATTTTTGCTATTTTTTTTTTCTTCTTCTTGTTTTTGTACTTTTTTGTTGGTGACTAGGGTACCTTGTACTGCCACATGCAGATTTTGTTTTCAAAGCCATGTACTTGAAATAGACGGTGAAATGAAACAAACTTTTTATCTAAAAGAAAAGGTGTTACATTTATACATTTCTATATATTGCATCGCATTGCATCATGTTACATCTCAAACGAAATGAAATTGATCTGTTGTCTGAAAATTGAACCCTTGCATTGTAATAATCAGATAACGAGCCAGCCAACAGCAAAAACAAACCATACCAACCACTGCACATTTTGAACACTCGGCTCATACTCTACTAGGGATTAATCTGCATACAGCTCATAACACAGCGCTTGGTTCATTTTGCACACAGCGGATCCTGAACAAACAACCCAAATCTGACAAGACGGACTATGAAGGTTGAATCTACTGAAGTTGAAGGACACTCAAATGCGATCTGGAACCCAGAAGCTTTAAAGAGGCCCAGTGTTTTCCTGTTCATACTTATCGGGGGTGGACCCTGCAGTTGTATGAAATAACCAAATCATGTTTTTGCACAACTATGCAGAATGGCACAACATTCTGAGCGCAAAACGAATTTTTTTTTTTTGTTTTGAAAATGAGAAAAGGGTTCTCAACCAGGTATTGAGCCTACAACTGAACACAGCATACTATGACTCAACAAAAGGTACACGACCTAAACACATCGAGTAACACTTGAAAAAGACTCAAAACAAAAGTTGAGGTAAACAAAACAAAAGACACGACACACAGACGTGTTATAAAGACAAGAGACCTCTCAGTTCGCGAGGAGCCAGTTTCTCCGGATATTGTTTCCCACCCTTTCTTATTTGTGATTCTCACATCCCTCTGGCACTCCAAGTCGGTTTTTTTTTTTTTTTTTTTTTTCTCAAAAGCCCCTTTTTGCTCACTTTTCTCTCATCGTACACCTCTCTATTCTTTAATCTCTCATTTTATATCCCTCCCTGGG